GTGAACGCAAAATTTGTTGGCCTAGATCTAGGCTATAACGGTGAACGCGCACCGGGTGAGAATAGCCAAAAGACTCGCCTGCACTATTCTCACGGGTGGCCATCTAGATTTCTAGATCCAAACGCGGCCGGAATTAAACGTGAGAAAGAAACAATTGCTCTAGAATCTATAATCAAGATCTAATCTAGATCTAGATTCTAGATCTACACTGGATCTAGATTCTAGATATATATAGACATCTAGAATCTAGATTTAAATTAGAAGAGTCTAGATTCTAGAGATGAACAATTATATTATTCTCGGCTACACACAGTCACAGTCGTTGATATGTTCTTACCTCAAGTTAGTGACACCTAAGATTCAGCTATGTTGTTCAGATAGTCTAATTGAAGTTCATGTAACCTGGTTTAAAACTTTTCGTGTCAAGTCAAAGTTTTAGTTGTTTTAGTTTTTAATCCATGAGCCAAGCTCTACCTCAGGCTCGCCTACGCCTAATAACAGGTAGGTAGTAAGCCCCTACTGTAAACAGGAAGTGAACTAAACACTGTGTTGATTTGATTGTGTACAGAGACCAGATTTTTTTGCCAGTAGGGGTTAGTCCTTGATGCCTCAATGGCCCAGTTGTGCTCCTTGGCCCTTATACATTAGTAGCAGGTTCCACCCAAGGAGTTTACAGTAATTAAGCTCCTTGGTTCTACCGAGATGTAAAAGCACGACGCTGGACCGGTGTCTGGGATTTTGCCTTTAGGCACTTGAATCGCCGCTGCTCGCAGAAGTCGCGAGTTGGATTCCCACGTAAAAAAACGGATGGGGGGGGTCTTCATCAATTGTAGCCAACAGTAATAGATTTTTAATTCAGCCTGCCTATGACAATGGGGACTTGTATCCCATTTAGCTTATGTTGACCCTGATAGTGTGGTCGAAACATCCTGCTTTGCATGGCGACTTTTGGAGAGGGCGTCACACGCCAACATAGATTTTATTAATGTAGCCGGATTTGACAGCACCAGAGAGGGTTTACAGTAATATTACTGTAAACTCTCTGACAGCACCATTGACATAAAACAATAACGAGGTGGCCAGGAGAGTGCCCATGCAGTCTCGTCGTAGATCTAGGTTAGGCCCTTTATATTGATCCGCCTGTTGAGTACACTGGTCTCATTAGGTCAAGTAATTATTCAGGTTTAAAATACAGGTACACGCACGTTGGTAAATAGGCACCTTATTGGTTTCGTCTGAAATACAAATACATGTACTTGAGGTATTGCAAACTAGAATTTTATTAACAATTCAGCCATCATTAGTACAGCTATAGCCAGTCTTATAGTAGAAGCAAAACTTTTATATAAATTTGACGTATGGATTATGAGAATCAACATTGATTCAGCTCGTTTCTTCGATTGCGTCATAAGATAAAATAAATGTGTAAAATCCACAGAATTCTGTAGTAAAATCAAAGATTCTGTATAACAAGATGGCTCATTCTTCTCTTTGAACCAATTAAAAATGTGTCCTCAAAATCCAGTGGCGCCCTCTTCGAAAAAGCGCCCACTTGGCGAACAGAGTTGCCCGACTTGTGCAGAAAAAAATCAAAGTGAGACTAACAAGTTTTTTGTATAAATTATAATTAAAATTTTGGAATTACGCCTTTTTAAACGAGGATAAAAATCCTCTTCGGTGGAAGGGGTGACTGTTTTCTTCGTTTAATTTGGTTTCAGAACGAGGGGCGAGAGGTCATTTAAATAAAGTAAACCCCAAACTCCGCACTGAGCGAACCAGAACAGCTGATGCCTAGGAAGATGCGCAAGAGGGTGCAAGAAGAGTATTTACATGTATTTAATTATATTATAATTTACGTATAATTTACAGCCTCTGGGGGTGCTAACAAAGACTGCAGCGACTTCTGAACCAATGCGCGGACTTCCACGGACACACCTTTGGCCGAGTGAACTATCGTTGTTATTGTACAATCTTTGGTATAATCAAAGATAGTAAATAACAAGATGGGCCACTCACCCAAAAAAGTGTCCGCAGGAAGTATGCTCTCACAGAATAGAATTCTGTGTGTATGCTCTTTGCTTCAGATGGCGCTGAAGTCTGTTTTGAAGCTCTTTCGTTTTTCCAGAAGAAGAATAGGAATAGCACCTCCTTGCGTGCGCAGATCGACTGCTGTCAAGGAGCTTAGAACTAATGGAGCCTCCTCTCTCTCTTCGCGGCGCCGCGAGCAGTACGCCGCGGTGGGGATCAAATATGGCGACCGAGTGTGGGCTAAATCACGAACTGTGGCGTTTCTTTTTATAGAATCTTATCGGGCTGGGCCACGTTGTGGGGGTGGGCGGGGTGGGGGAATGCACGCAAGGAAGAGGGGATGGGGCTGGGATGAAAGAGGAGGGGCGGGCCTTGGGAAGGGACGAAGGAGAATGGGAAAAATTAAATAAGAGAGAGCGAGAGAGAGAGAGAGAGAGAGAGAGAGAGAGAGAGAGAGACAGACAGACAGAGAGAGAGACAGACAGAGAGAGACAGAGAGAGAGAGAGACAGACAGACAGACAGACAGAGAGAGAGAGAGATTGTGATCAACTGACGCGCTGACGGATAATGACAGGGAGAAAAAAAAAAGTATGTGTGTGATACGGACTGTTCAATTCTTTAAGAGTTTTATGTTATAATCTAGTTTAAAAATAAAAAAGATGTGTAAAATAAGAAGAAAACTTGTCCGAGTAACATCAAATTATCTATTATACCAAATTATAAAGATAATATTTCAAGATGCTAAAATATTTAATTATAAGAAATGGATAAAAATATACTTTTAAACAGAATTTAAGATATATGATTGCATGATTCTAGGCGTGTGCCATAACTAACTTTATGTGTAAGGAATAGCGGACACAAAAGAGGGTCGATGTTTGCTTTATCTAATTGCTAACAGTATGTCTTGGTCTATAAATTATAAATAATATTATTGATCACATTAATTTTGTTTCCTGGTTTTCACAAAGTGGAGCGCACAATGATTTCAAATATAAAAAAAAAAGAGATAACAGCACCCTTGGAGGTGCGATCGCATGCATGAGCGTGGATAACCTTTGAAGGGTTTATTTTATTTTTTTTTGTTCAGTAAAGTATGATATGGAGAGCAGCGTTTTTAGTCCCTTATTACACTCCAGAGGGGGATAATTTAACTTAGTGATGACTCTTGTGTAGTAAAATTTGTTGTTGCTTTGTTTGGTTTATTTTTTAACAGCAGAATCTTAAGTGAATCGGAACTATTGATTGTGGGATCTTAGGTGAAGACTACAACAATAGAATTAAACCGAGTATAGTTCTATCCAACAAGACTCAAACTCTTATCCACCCCACCCTACCCTCTCCCCTCATCTGATATGGTTTGGTGTTTCTTTAACATAGAAAATATTCATCATTATTGTTGTTGAGTATTGATTTCATGTTCTAATGGAGCCTCTAGATATCTACATTTAGACTACAGTAGCATCAATTTGCACACACAACGGAAAGCAATATCTTTAATTAAAATGTATAATGTGTATATACATACACACACATAATAATTATATATACTCATAATAATTATATATATTTATGAATAAGAATACTTTTAAAAAAATTGAGTATCTCGGTCTTTCTGCTGGGGTGTTGTATCCCTTTCAGCCTGGGTTGGCCTTGGCATGTAGCGCCGGAGCCAGCCTCTTATGAATATTAATGATTTAAATTGTGTTGCTGGGGGCATAAAAACACTTTCATTCATTTTTTTAAAAGGAAAACAACTTAACTGTGAAAACTTCGGTCCACTGCAGCATCATATCGGTTCTTACACTTAAATACAACACAGGTGCAAGGCATTTTTTCTAATTGACTTGCCTAATCTGAAGGACCTCGGAGAATAAAACCTTCTTTCTTATCTAGATTTCAGTGCCTTAGTCCGGCATTCGCGCAGCGCAGGTAGCTCACGGTTCCGCCGCGAGAGAGGGCTCCTATCAGGCGTGCAGCGCCGCCCATAGAGCATCCTCCATTACTTTTAATCTCCTTGACTGCTGTTCATCAGCAGTTCGGGTTCGTTCAGTACGGAGTTTTAGTTTTTTTAAAAATTTTAATGACCTCTCGCCTTTCATTCTAGAGTCAAATTAAACGTAGAAAACAATCACCCTGTCCTCCGGAAGAGGATTTTTTGTCAGCGTAACCATTTTAAAAAAGCGTTCTTCCGAAATTCATTCAAAAACTTGCTAATTTCACTTTGATTTTTAAAATCAAGTAGGATAACTCGGTTCGCAAAAGGTGCGCTTTTGTGAAGAGGGCGCCACCGAATTTTGAGGACACTTTTTTAATTGGCTCAAAGAGAGAAGTGGCCCCTCTTGTTATGTAGACTCTTTGGTATAATAATCAAAATGAATGTATCGATACGAGATTATATCGGCGCCTTTGTTGTGTTTTGGGATCTGCTAGAGACGCTTGACCTACTCTGCTCAATCAAGCCTGTCTGAATCATGTGACTGTCATGTCTTGAATGTTGTTATAGAATATGGCCTTGTTTCAACGCCTGTTTTCGTCAAAACGATCTTCAAGAAATTCTTCGTTTGACAGAAATGGTCGCCGACATGATTCTGTTCAGTAAGTGTTAATTTTTAGCTGATAATCCAACGAAGGTCTGGTTTGTGGACCGATCAAAGCCGAAGAACGGCCTCGTGTGAAGCGCAGTATCATGCCATCACATGATGATGAGTGCACACTCTCCGTGTGTCATGTGCCCCATGTAAACAAAGGTTATCCACGTATCTTTGAACAGTGTGTTGAATATTCAGGGACTTGATAATATTATCGTGAGGCTAGCTATTGAAACTCTGTTTTATTTGACGTTTTGCCACTTGACTTTGGGCTGTACGCTAGACCTAGATTAGTAGGCTAGTAAAGATCATATCTTTGTCTTTACTAGATCTAGATCTAGAACTGCTACTGTGTGGAAAAGGTCAGGGAGAGCCTTGAATTTGATGAATGTCTGAGTGATTTGGTGATTAGCCTAACTAGATCTAGATCTAGATCTAGATCTATTATTATTATTATTTGAAGTTTTGACCTGGTCAACATGATTAGCCTGGCTGTCATATTCAAATGGCCACCTCTATTCTCACTCTTGAGAATAGTATATAGTGCAGGCGAGTCTTGTGGCTATTCTCACCCGGTGCGCGTTCACCAAATTTTGCGTTCACCCTAAACCACAGGATTCTACACTGTGATAACAGAAAAATTGTAGAATTCTGTGCCGTGAACAAACGTTCCATTACAGCTGTAGCCTACTAAAAGCGTACAATTTTGTCTGTGGGCAGTGGAGAGAGAGAGAGAGAGGAGTAGCGCGAGAATTTCCGGGCAAAACAAAATGGCGACCCGTGTGTAGTTCGGCTCGATTCGAAAAGTTAAATAGCCGTAGCATCTTTGTAGACAACCAAATTAATTTACTTTTGTGTTTTAACATCATGTGTTTTAACATCATTTTTAAACTTTGTTTTGGTCAATTTGATCGTCCACACCGATAGACAGTATTCAGAAAGAGAGAGAGAGAAGAGGGGAGGAGTTGATTTTGCGAGAACTTCCGGGCGGGTGAGAATAGCCACTTTCTATTCAAATCATGGCCATGGACTGTGTGATGGAAATTCAGCATGATTTTGACTCATGTCATGATCATGTATTTGAATTATTTGTGCATTACTGTTGACAAGATATAATTTTACTTCCTCTGAATTTCCGTGATAAATGTAAATTCACAAGAAGGTTATATGATATATGAAGTGTATACAGACCCTGTAACCGGGAACAAAGTCACAAAGTATACAGACCCGGTAGGGGAACTCTTTTGTGATTTCGGAAAGTTTCAGCGCCCAGACCTGGTAGTGCGTGTGTGTGTGTGTGTGAGAGGGAGAGAGAGTGAGAGAGAGAGAGCAAAATGTATGACATGCCCCAGTTGGCAGGAGGGAACGAGAGAAAGATAGAGTGGGAAATAGGTGGGGAGAAAGAAAGACAGAGACAAACAAAGAAAAAGAGAAGGCGAGCGATACACACAGAGAGAGAGACTGCTCGATTGAAATTATGACATTATTCTTTTCTTCAAATTGTGATTCCTCCAACTCCAAAACGGAGGAAAAACGATCGTTCATCGAAAAGACATCCGCAATCTTCATTTAGATCTAGATCTAGGCTAGCCTCGAAACCAGATCAATGATTTATGTCTGTCTGTCTAGATCTAGACCTAGGCCATAGATCTAGAAGTACCTAGGTCTACCCCACAGAATTCTACACTAAGTGTAGAATTCTGTGGTCTGCCCTGAGCCAAGAGGGCGCTGAAACTTTCCGAAATCACAAAAGAGTTTGGTATTTTTTTACTTTCCCTCCCGTCTCACACTCAGCTACCAGTTGTCTATTTTCTACTAAATATTGATGCGCTGAACACGAATATATCAACTTCATTTCCGTCGCAAATTAATGGTTTTTGAAATATTTGATTGTTTTTAACCGAGATAGACATGCTTTGGACCAATCGGGGGGTTCCAGGGGGGCCTGCCCCACTGGGGTAAAAGAAAATCTGGGGGGTTACAGGGGGGCATGCCCCCCTGTTTTTACACCCATAATTTGATATTTTACAGTTAGATTTGAAATTGTCTTGAAAATAATTGATTTGCGACAGTTTTAGTGGCTTTATGTGTGATCTGCAGCAAACAGTACAGCAGTTTGACCCCTGAAACAGTGCATCTGTGTGCGGGAGTGAAAGTAAAAATTTACCAAGAGTTTCCCTACCGGGTCTGTAAACTTTGTAATTTTGTTCTCGGTTACCGGGTCTGTATACACTCCCTATGATATAAACGCATAGAGCATTGCATAAGTGGATATGCGCTATATAAATGCAATCCATTATTATTATTATAATATAATAGGCACTGCATCGAGACGTCGAGAGAGTTCCTGGGACTCTCTAAGTACTGGATTTAAGAGGGGGAGGGGGGGGGCTACACCTGAAGGCTATCTCGCTTATTACTGGACTGAATTTTTACCAAATTTCACACATATAACAAGCACAGTAAGGAGTCTTGTAATCCGCAATCAAATTTGAGAAAAAAGTTTCGTTTCCATGGATACGGCGGCCATATTGGATTTTGTTGACATGTCTTATGTAATGAATACTGCACTTTGCTCTTGGAAATTGATTGTTTTTGTGCTTGCGTGTTAACAAACATTAGATCTAAAAATTTGTCTGTTTCTTTCCTTAATGAATTAGAAAATTTTTAATGAATTTTTTCCTGAGATAGCTTTCAAGTTTGCAAAAAATCCATGAAAATCCACACTCCAGACACCACCAACAAAAATCTATTCCATATAGATCTATATATATCAAAATTTCAAGAGACAAATTTTTAGTATTACATCTTCTCTTCATTCTGCGAAAAATTTCGTGAAGATTGGATGAAAAATGGTGGAGCTATTAAAAAAAGTATAGAGGAAAGTCACGTTTTGAGAAAATGGCAGAAAAAGAAAAAGAAAAATGACTTTTTATGAGGAAATGGTGGTGACAAACATGCCCGATATGAGAAAAAATTAGGTTTTGGGAGGTTCTTTATATATATGCTTTGAAATAGTTGTAAGAGAGGTTGAGGAAGCTAAAAATGCCTACATACAACTCAAATTCCATAATTTTGAGCCGAATCTTGTCTTTGGGGTGTAGGCCCCCCCCCCCCACCCCACCCCTCCCCCTTTTGTCTTAAAAAGTAAAACTAGCTTAGATTTTTAAAAAAATCTAGGCCTATGGGCTGAAGAGTCAAGATTTTGTGTGTCTCAGAGACTCTGTGCTTCAAGTAAAGCTTTTCTCCATCAATTTTCTCCTTTTTTACGAGATCTTTATTTAGATCAGTCTCAACCTCATCAATATCCATTACTAAATTGTTTCTCTATAATACAAAATACTGCTACAGCCACTACCACTGGACCTCGTTTATTTAATCAGTTTTAGGTCCAGATCTTCACTAACTTGGTTTTTTGTTGAATTCCTATTTTTTAAGAATTTTTTATTGTGATAAAAAGCTACTTTGTTATAGGCCTACATCTAAACTTTTAAATCTGAGAAAGATGTTGGTAGACATCCAACTCTCATGGCATTTTTCTTTTCCTTCTTGCAGAAACACTTCTAACTTCAACAATACAGTATTTTAGGAAATTGCTTGGTAATCGACAGGGGCGAAGGCTGACTTGTTTGACAGGGTAATCAAAGTTAAACGGGACCAGATTATGGCCTGGAGATATCACACAAGAATCTTTCTCGAGGCGGCGACTCTGAGTTGTGAATGAAAACAAATCCGGAATTCACATTATATGTTCAACCGCCAAAATAATCGGGAAAGTATCTTATTAAATATTAATTCCAACTACAATTAAATTTAACTTTGGATGTGATACACAAACACAAAGCAAAGAAGCAGAGATGTCAGTACTAGATCTATATGTTATAGATCTACCCATGAGTGTAACTCTTTGGTAGAACATGACAATTATTCTTTTTTTAAATTTCACATTTGGCTGTTTTTAGAGGTGGGCAAAATCCGGATAATCTACAAGGATAACCGAATAATTCTCAATGAAACATTATCCGAATTCAGACTCTTAACTCTCTTTCCTGACCCGTTTGCCGAAGTGGGTGCACCCATTTGTTGAAGTTATGCTAACCCGTTTGTCGAAGTGGTTCTAACCCTTTTGCCGAAGCAGTTCATATCATATTATTTTTTGCCGAAGAGGTGCACTAACATAGTATCCGGATTTTGCTAAAGCGACTCATTGCCCAGCCCTACTGTTTTTGTCTAGCCTTTCGTGGCCAGGAGGCGGTGTCATAATCGAGGTCGCGATCTGATTATAGGACAGTAAAAAGTCGAGGAAAAAAAGCAAGCAATTGCAACAGTCAAGAGATTGTTAGGAGTTAGTTCCCCTCACATTTGTGAGGTGGACTCGACCAGTGTAATAGTTAGCTTACATAATCAGAGTTTGTGATTGCTTTTAACTGTGGCCCCAAAGGGGTGAACAGGGTATTTGTGGCAATGAAACAGTTTGGACTGCTATGTACCTGTTCCCTTCAACTCTATTGGTAGACTCTTCCAGCCTCACTTTAAGCTTACTTTTTCAAAGCTTGTGACTGCTTATGGAGTGGCCCGAGAGGGTTGAGCAGGCTATTTCTGTGGTAGTGAAACCTTTTTGAATGTTAGGCATACTGTTCATTGTTGATTATGAACGTCTTTTTACATTTAATTTATGAGGTTTACGTTTATATGTGAATTTGACAGTGACAATGTTTCAAAATCAGAAAGGGAAGCAGTGATTATTTGATTATATATACGCTTCGCCCCTGGTAATCGAAATCTTCCAGTTTGAAACGTTTTATAATCTTCGGACAAAAACTTGAATTTGATGTGTTCGGGTGAGACTTGACCCCAATTTCCCTGATAACTATTGTGATTTTTTCAGTAATAATCTCTTGTGGTGGGTTAGAGTTAGTTTGTAACCTTATTAGTAATAACTGTAGGCTTATCATTTGGGCCAAAACCAGTGCCAGGTTATATTGTGCCTTATCTAAAATAAATTACCAGAAACATGAAACATCCCTGAGAGCTTTATTTTCAGACTTTAATTCACCTCCACGTGTGACTACTGTACTAGTTCACTAGTTCATCATCATTGAAAAAAGCAACAGTGGCATTTCTGGAGGAGATGTTGTTGGGTGAAACAAAACACAGTGCACCCCTATTAGACTGACTTTAGTCACTCAGGGTAGTTTAATAACCAAAAATAAAGTGATTTGGTGAATTTTTTAGCTGAAAATGACGTTAAGAATAAGAGAATAGAATCATTAAAAGCTTTAGAGTTATCAGGGGCATCTGAGGGTTGAATTCTATCCTGCTGCCTAATCCATCAGGTCTGAGAATAAAAGCTTCAAACTGACTATTGTTTTATCTCTGTACGCAGTGTTATCTTTTTAATTTGACACACACTGAGACTGCATATCTCACTCTGTTTTGTTTTGTTTGCTTCAATCAAGGCTCTCTCAAGTTTATGCAGTAGCCCTAGCAAAATGAGAGTTTTTCATCCAGATGTAGACAGGAAGATGTTTTTTGACATCGGTCATAATTATTCAACTTTGAAGAACAATGGGTTGTCACTAATCTCCAAAATTTTTCCAAGCAGGTAAGTTCACAGACGAAAAAATTTTGTCCATTCAAACTTGGTATTGCTTGACCTTAAGTCCTCATATTTTTTCACTTCCAGGTTATCTCTGTTACTATATTGTCCGTTTCCTCCAAAGCTGCAAGGGGGATATTTACAACAGACTAGTGGTTGCTTTGTTTACATTTCACTGAATTATCTTTTCAATCCTGCCTATTTTTCTTTACTGTTTTAGAGTTTTTTTCTATTTAGCTCATCAAGTCTGCAGAAAGAAACGACCTTGTGTAGTGAGGGTTGAGTTGTTGCAGATCAGTATCTGTAATGTATGTCTGATGTATGAAATGTAAAAATGGGAAGGAACTATTTTGCGAATGTTGAAATAATGATTCTTTATATTTCCCCTTCTTGATATGTCACATTTTGTCTCGTTTTGGGATTCACACGAGACTTCAGTGTAAACTAAACACCAATAAAATCAGTTCACCGGCTAGTAGGCAAGAGAGCGGCTGTGTTTTGTCTTTCTTTCAAGTATTAATCTTTTTATAATGTGAGGCCAATGCGGCCGTCACAGTATCCAAATGTGTAAAGAGAAATTATAATAAAGAGTTTGGACAATGTTCCAAAACACCCTGTATAATTTTTCACAAGAGGGTTTCAAGCTTGATCACTGATGCCTGTTTCAGATCTGGCACTCTCTGATGATAATGATATTGGTGTCAAATTGAAAAATAATTACAAAGTGACTGTTTCTCTGAACGTTCGGGGAAATAAACTTGGCCTCTTAACTCTATTTTTCCTAATGGTTTCCGCTCTCGAGATTTGTTTGGGTTATTTTTTGCAACAGTTTGGCGGCATCTTCCTTTCTGCCTTTTTGCGAGAACTGGGAAGATGCAGTTTTTGCATCGAATTCAATTTCTAGAGCGAGAGATTTTTAGATGTCTGAATATTCAGAAACTTCAATTGTGGTTGGAGCAATGTTCCAGGACTATGCTTCATTTGAAAATGCCTTCAAAAGGTACTGCGACAGCTAGAAAACAAGACTGCTCGACTTTGGCAGTAACCTATTTTGCATTTAGTCACCCCTGAAGCAAAAACTAAAATCCTTCATCTAAACAAAAAAAAAATCTCTCCACGTACCCCCGCCACTTTCACACTTCACACACACTCTCTCTCTCTCTCTCTCTCTCTCTCTCACACACACATTCACACACACTTGCGCACGCGCATGCCACTCCATTCGCATATAAATTTCTAACCAAAAAATCTCGAGAACGGAAACCATTTGGAGAAATAGAATTCAAGTTTATTTTCCCGAGCGTTAGGAGAAATAGGGCTAAAAAATATCCAGTATACATATTTTTGTGTACAGTGAAACTTGTCCAAGACAGAATAGCTAGGAATCCCGAAAAAAAACATTATGTTGTAGACATTATTCGACTTGGACAGGGGAGGTAGTGGTTCTCTGGGGATGTATACCACACATGCCACACACAGGGGTACAGTACGATGGAGGGGGGGGGTGTCGGAGGACAAAAAACGAATGAGTTTCCTTCATTTTCATCTTTAACCCCACCCATTGATGTAATAAACACAATCAACCAATGCTGCCCTTCCTTTGCATGTAACAACGATTCGCAGAACTTTTTTGTTACCAATCAGTTTGATCAGGGCGGCAGGCAGTGGTCAAATTTCTAGCCTCAGGCTACCCAGCAAAGTTTCTGTGCTGGAGCACTACGTGAACACTTTGAAGACAAGCAGGGATGCAATTTAACACTTACTCTGTGCTAGCCATCTGAACTTATCAGGGCTCACATGGGTGAGGTAACAACAGCTGCTCTTAAACTGCATCCCTTCCCCCTTTCCTCACCTGACGAAGTGGCATAAAGTTAGAGCCGATAGAACCAAGCTTTGGACTTTTGTTTCAAACCAGAGTTGAGCAGGCAAAGCATTTTCGGTCTTCAACTGGTCAAAACCCTTTGAAAGGAAGGAATTTCTCTGTCCATTTCCAGGTTCTCAAGGTTTCTGTTTAGACAGATCAGATGTGTTTATAGGGGAAGAATACTAGAATGTATCAAGGGATGAGCGGGGAGATCCTGGCTTTGACAAGTTTTTGTTGTGGCAGGATGGGTAGCTGTCATTGACAGACTTGACTGTACTTTTAATCTTGATGAATGGCTAGCAGCAGAGATCTGAAGATTTGTTTGTTCATATTTCGTGTACCTTTCTTTGTGAAATAGCAGCACTTTAAATGAATGTCAAAGTGGCATTTAGAGGGGAAAATATAAAGTCTACATCAGACATTTAGTTTGGAAACTCTTGTGGTCTAGAGGTATAGTGTTCGTCTTTCTTTCAGTAAATCCCGGGTTCGAAACCTGACAGCGTTTCTCTAAAAAAATGTTCTCCTTTCACCTCCTTTCCCGCTCTCTAACCATGTGTTTTCGTCTGCTTTTGTCTCCACTTGCTGCCCCCTCTCCACCCCCTCCTCTGGGCTCCTGACTCTTTCTGCTGCCTTTGTACTGCTACTACTTGGTCCCTTCTTACTGCTGTCTTTCAGCCACACCCCTTCCTCTAACTCTTAGGGTAGGTAAGATCTAACACAGGTCTAGCCTTCTTGGATAAGGATGAAAGAATCTCAATGGCCCAAAAATCGATAAGAGTACGCTTCAGTTGCCAATGCAGCATGGCACATTTGTCATACATGATGTAAACAATGTAACTATGTGGGTCTTTGCCAGTACCTTAGAAACCGCTTCCAGTATCATGCAGGAAGAAAAATTAGACCTGGAAATATATAAAAGTGGGTGGTTGGCTGGTGCTCTGGTGTGGTTTGCTCTTTCTTTCCTATCAAACATCTATCGTCTTTATCTCCCCTCCTTTTTTGTGTGTATGTTACTCTCTAGTAACACATCTATTCTTTGACACTTTTACTACCTTATTGTGTTGCATGTGCCATAAAACACTTACGAAAACTAAGACCTGTAAATGGCAAATGTAGTTTCTGGGTTATTCAGTTGCCTTTTCTTTTAATAATGTGACTGTTGTATTTTCTATGATTCTAATGTAGTAAACTGATAAAGAGATAGTGGATAGTATTCTGATCAAACATTAAAATCTCTATCAGACACAGACTCTCTATATCATCACCATCAGATGAAAATATACCGCTCAGGATTTACATCATCATGAGAAATAGAGGTACTAGTTCTTCCCCATCAAACATAAATTCTAATACTAATATCAGTCTTTAAATACAAGATTATCACTTAAGACTTACTAGATTAACTTCCACACTGTTGATTGATACCCCCATCAGTATCAGATATAGATACATGTACCAATACATAACCATCAAACACATAGTTACTGATCTGAATCGCCATCAAACATAAAGTTACTTGATTGATATTATTATGAATCAGAATGTTTGTCTGTTGTCATGATATTAAATCAATATCACCATCATACTCATACGTACTAAATTACTATCACCATTCAACATAGAAATACAATCTAGATCACCATCAGACCCAGAGTTCACAATATTGATATATATCATTATCAGATTGAAAGGTATATATATATAGATATATATATGAATTAATATACACCGTCGAACCTGCCTTAACGGAAACCTGTGTAAAACGGAAACCTGTCTTAAAGGAATCTCCCCGCTCCCCCCTTGATATATTCCTCTTTAATTACCTGTATAAAACGGAAACCTGTCCAATGCTGAAATGGAAAGAAAAATCCGCTCCCTTCCGATGGCTTCACCTGTCTAAGATGGTAAATGCTTTGCCCGTTCAGTCCTGATTTGAAACAAAACTCGCAAGTTTGGTTCCGTCCGCCGGCTCTAAACTTAACACCATCCTGCCAGGCAAAGAAGGGGAGTAGGGGTGCAATTTGATGGTAGATGTGGATGTTACCCCACCTATGTGAGCCTTGAGCGATGGAGATGGTCTTGGTGGTGTGGGTGTGAAATCTCACGAGTGCCATGAACGTGCTCGTATGTTGCTCCAGCACGTAAACTTTTATTGGTAGCCAGAGGTGTGAAATTAGTTTGACCAATGCATGCCGCCCTGATCGTACAGCCAGGCGAGAAAAGAGTTCCTCGAATCATTGTTACATGGCAGTGAGAGGTCGCATTGGTTGACTGTGTTTATTACACCAATGGGTGGGGCCAGTGGTGGTGGGTGGACCAAAATTTGGGTGGGGCTTAGGTTGCTTCCACTTCTTTACCACCAAATTGCAAGCAATAAGAACTGAACAGTGATGATTTTTCTATACTCACGGTGAGCCTCGGCATTTTGAGAACCATTCAAACGACCAGAATTACCTTTGTTTTCCGTCTCTGTTCTCAGTTAAATTCTTTTTGATGGTGGGGACGAAGCCGTTTCACCTCCAAATTCCCTCTAATTAATTTTCATGTGATGAAAAAAATTGCCTTAGAAGTAGTTCGACCTGATTTATAACTGTTAAATATCAGCGGCACAAACACAAACATGCACACACGGCACTTCAAACATATTATTGCTTTTATGAGCTGGATTAGGCCGTGTAGTCGAGAAAGTTGAACGCACCTAACAAAGAACCAATGAGTGCATAGTTATGTGTCAGTGGGGGAAAGTGTCTCGTTAACTTTCACCCCATTGTCAGGGCTAAGAGAGCGTGAGCCCTCAGTACAGTTTTTTAAAAAAAGTCTTTTACCTTTTTTACTAGAAGAGTTTCATTAAGGACGGGCTGTGAGAAAGGGCTCATTCTTTGCTGAGCCCTAAAGACATTTGATTGGCTGCAGGGTTACTGATTGGATAAATGAGCAAGCCGCCAGGTTGATCACTCTGTGTTCATTGCGTGCAGTCATAGCGGTTTCAACTGCGTATTTCATTATACGGAGAAACTTATTTACTTTGAGATAAAATTGGAGGGGGGAGGGGCTCAAGCCCGTGAGCCCTTCAATACCCACTGCCACTGGGTGGGGCTAAGGGTGGAAGCAAAGGAGATGTTCAAACAGTGGTTCTATGAACTACAAGCACTGGTGGTAATTGGATAAATAAGACTGACGCATGTCATTATCAAAAAGGATAGCAGCTGAGAGGTGTGAAGTTTTGATCATTTTTGCTTGCCGACCAGACAAGCGACCCTTGATCCCGCCGGCTGTGCCTTTGACACCCCACCCCCCATCTTCCCACTCAATTCCTCTGTTAAAGACTGAAATTTTTTTTCTGGCTCCCTTGCGATTCCGTCTAACACAGGTTCAACTGTATAGAGTCATCGTGGTGAAATCAGGCGCTCATCAAAATAGTGAATTCAAACTATTCAAAGAAATTGGCTTTTTTCTGACTACTGGGCCATTTTTTTCTAATTTTCTTTTTTTTGGCTCAACACCTTTTATATCCATTTAAAAACACATTTCTGTGTGGATTTTACTGAAAAACAGTGTTGTTATTTTGTTACACGATTGATATCATGCTCAGAGATGGACATGGAATTCATTTTTCTTTTCTATGTTTTGAAGATTCTGCCATTAGTAATTGGTTGGGAAATGTTGTAGGTTTGCTGTTTTTATGAAAGAATATAATACAATAAGTTTCCTGTGATTGTGCTGAATGCATGGAGATATGTTACTGAGTCACCTGAATGTGACCTGCTGAAAGCTGGTCGAGGTCACATGAATTTATAGACTCTACTTTACACTGATGACATAAGAATGTAGATCACCAGTTGACCTTAAAGGTTAATATTGATACCTGATTATCAGCAGTACAAATGAAAGTTGCAGCTGAATAGCTATCAGTCACATGCTTATCTATCATATGATGGATGCCCATGTGCCCTCTTCAGAAATGGGTCCATTAAGGTGAGGAGACGGAGATTGTTTTATTCCCTACGCATTTCTCAATTAATGATTGTAGTGACTGTTTCCTTTTTATTAAACCCTTTATTTATAGCTGTAGGCTGTTCCAATTCAGATTGTTTTTTTATTCAGTGAGGAGATAAATTTGCTTGTTTTCTGTTGTAAAAGTGAATTCATATTGGTTTGACTGTGAGATAATGTATCAAAGAATGTAGCCATAAAACAATATGGGATTGGAAAAATATGGTTCAGCCTTTTAAAAAAAATAAGAATATTCTGTTATTGTAGACAGATAGAAAGCTAAGAGTAGGCTGTGACGGTATGGTGTGTCAATGCTATGAGACCATGGTGTGCCAGTGCTCTATTGTGCAAGATGATGTCCTCAAAATGCGCAACAGGTGAGCGCTGAGTTATGCTACAGCAGTTATCCTTGCCTGTGGATCTACTCTGTCAGATTGTGTAGTCTGGATTTTTTTCTCTTTTTTGTCAAAGCTGTTTTCTACTCTTTTAGAAATTGTGGGTTGTGTCAGGACCACACTGGTAAATGACTGATGTTATGTCAGTGTGATTTTCATAACTCAATCTAAATAAACTCCTTTTGAAATGAAATTTGATTATACAGTGATAGGAGAACAGGTAAATAGTTGGGAAGCAAGTTCATGACATCAAAAAGGACACCTCTAAGGTTATCTCACTAGACTTTTACTCTGCTCAGTATGTTATTCTGAACAACATTCACATAGTAGTGGTACAGCAGTGTCACACCAGTGTATGATCTGTGTTTGAGTGAGGTGTGATGGAGCCTCAGTGACAGGCTCTCTCTGTATTGGCGGCTGTGGGGTATAATGATCTGATGAGTGCTTGGATGCTGCTTGGTGTAGGCCATGCCCCTTATATATATATTTGTTTTCCTTTTCTTCTGCAGAAAAACTGTTGCCCCCAAGTTGGACAAGTCTAAAATACGACTTGTCATTTATGTGGACTCTGACCATGGCAGGATGCCATACTTTGATTCTAACGCCATCCGGCCGGTGGATGAAGTCGACAAGGTTTTTGCTCCTCAATTTTGTTGTCATTTTGTTGTTGTTTTTTTTGGAGGTTTTTTTTTCCTTAGTGTCCTTTCATTCAGACAGCTTTTTCTGGTCATTGGTGCAGTTTGGATTTATATATCAGCGACTTAACTGAGGTTTATGGTTCAAATTCAGGTGGGTTCAAAATTTGTTTGCTTTTTTTTCTTTTTTTCAGCTTTCTAGAAAGCTTTTCCTCTCAGTTCAGTGTCCTGGGTTGGGGAGGGGAGTGACCCACCTTTTATCTTGGTTAAAAACAGTAAACTGTTTTATCTGTGTTCTCGAACATAAAGGTTTTGAAAGCAAATGAGATTAACAATTTAACAAAGACTGTTTAGAGGAAGCTCCATACCATCATCAATGGATGTTTGATATACAGATTTTAACCCTGACACCACCAGACTATTTTTAACCTTCACTTCTATTTGGCCCATATAATTCTGTAGTTCATGACTCCTCAAGCAAAATCAGTACTGATTATGTCTGACACTTTTTACAGGCATTAAGAAAAATCTTGCTTTTGTTTTGAAGTTTTAATAATGACATGTAGGATAGTTTTCACTGGATAGAATATGGTAAAAATGCACTTGTGGGTTTCAAGTGGGCAGCACCCTGTGAGGGAAATATTTGTGACTGGGCCAGAGGGAACGAGAACTCACGAGGGTAATATATGTGACTGGGCCTGAGAGGGTTAATAAAACCTGAGGTATTTTGACTTTGCTTAAACTGATATCGTTAGAAAGGTGGAAAAGATTATGATGCAGAGAAAATGGTGATGGATTGGCCCTTATATTTTGTTTTTGCTGTGGATGAACTGTCATAATCCATTCACCTGTCGTTATTGTTTCCAGAAAATGTACATTTTAGTGTTTTATGTGTTCCAGAATGTTCTCAGATCAGCCCCAAAGACCATGCGAGCCAAAGGTCTCTATTATTCTCAACACAAGGAACCGCCGGTGCCTCAGCAAAAACAGGTTCCCAAGTTTCATGTAAGTTGACTGTGGTGTGCATCTGACCTCTAAATTTTCCACCTGTCCAGTTGGCAGGAATTGGCTGGTCCCTCTCTGATTGTAAATTCATTTCAAGCTATCTCTGTTATTGTTGAAAGACTGTGGTTATGACATTGCTAACAAATGGTGCTTTGGCCACAGAGGAGTAGAGTTTTACACATAACAAGAGAAAATGAAAGATTAAAAGTTACCTGTTTTACGAAGAGAATACGGCATGTTTGAATTGTCATTGCTTGGATGAATAGAATAGTTCTCATTGCTGTGTTAGAATTGTTCTTTCTTGTGGGTGCTAGAATAATGTCAGTAGTCTAAGGTACATATATTTCATAGTTTGTCCTTGGACCTTCCATTGCGTATTTTCTTTTTCTGTATTTACAGGCTTTTTGATTTGCCTTTTTTAGGATGTATGCCATGTACAGCCGAACCTGTTCTAACAGCTACCTGTCCAAGAGAATCACCTGAACAAATCGTCTTTCTCCACTTACTCCTTGTTGTTTTTTTCTATTACATTGACACTGTCCAAGGTGTCCACCTGCCAAGACAGCTACTCTCCTTGACTATTGGTGACCGTCTTGGACAGTTTCAACTGTATTTCAATCTTTATCTTTCCATTTCACTCCAGATATTTTGGTTTGTTCTGTGATTTTTCTGAAAACCCTTTCTGGATGTTTTGGTTATCCTCTTGTTGTCTCTCAATTCTTTATCACCCTGTGCAGGTATTGAGGAAAACTCTGAACTATTGATCAGTGTCATATTATTTGCTCTGTTCGAGGGAGGGGGGTGTCATATGTACCTCCATGGCTTTGTTTGTGATGGTTTTCCCCTTGGCTTTCAGTTCCAGAGACTAGGAAGCGATGTCAAGGTGCTGGAGGAAATGATGTTTGGTACTGTGGGCATGGCCTACAAAGGGACATCACTCAAGATTCACTTGCTCAGGTGAGCCTTGCGAAAGGGATTTAATGTTGGAACACCTTGAATGTCAACACATTTTTCCTTATCTATATTCTGTGGTATTTCTTGAACAATTTTCATTTATTTCATAGCTATCTTTTTTTTTAAATGTGAAATTTTACTTCTTTTTTTTAAAAGCATACACAAAGAGTTTTCTTTTCATCATTTTGCCAAAGTATCCCCCCCAAAAAACACAAAACTTTTCCTAGACCCCTCTACCTGAGAAATTCCTGTCCCAACCTGTTGTATTGAAGTGCTCTGGGTAATGTATTTATTTTCACCGAGCACAAACAATAGTTTAGTAATATCTGTGAAAGCGTTAATACCTCACAATGCCCTTTGTCTGAGTAAAGACAATGATGTAAATATTTGGCAGAATCACAGAATCTTGATATACAAGTACATAGTAGTATTTTTTTTTTTGTCTTGCGACATGCCCTTCTCTCTCAGGGTTGTAGCAGTACTCATAAAATCCACCTATAAGACTTTCACCATTTTCCTCCCTTGTTTCTCTGTCCGCCCCACAGGTCACCACCACAACTTATGGTGACCAAAGTGTTCCTCCCGGAGAAGCCGCGCAGAGAAAGCATTGGGTGAGACTTTTTTTTACTGGCCATGTGCAGTAGATTTATCTCTTGGGTTAAGACTAGCAGCTAGCATTGGCTGTAATGTTGCTTGTGGAAAGGGAAGCTTTGGGTCTTGATGTAGCACTGTTAGGTGCTGACTCTTTTGTCAATGTTGGAAGTACCTTTCAAAAATTCACTATGAGCTTATTAGTGAGTACACCGCACTGACATTTTTCTCAAATATTTGTGCTTAAACACACTTAACAGAATTAAACGAAAAGTTTAATGATTCATTTGATAAGTGAATTTTATACATTTTTGAGAATATGCCAAATTTATGGGTAAAAAAGGCCAAAAACTTTTATACAAAATAGAAGGGTGTGATTCATTGTGTCGATATGCATGCTTTTATGTGTTTGTCTCTGCTAAAAGCAGATGTTGCATCAACTGACAAATAGTATACAGTCAGGGGGCTCTCTTGGTCTAAAGGTACGGTGGTTGCCTCTCATTCAGAAGCTCCCAGGTTCAAAACCTGACAGAGATTAAAAATTGTCCTTAAACTTTGTCCTGTGTCATTTCATAGTGACTGCATACTTTCTTCTTTGAAATCCCCAGCTAGATCTCAGGGGCGGTCAACAGGTGGTTCTTCTCTAAAAAATTTTCCCATCATCTCCTTTCCTGCTCTCTAGTCATGTTCTGTCTTTTGCTTTTATCTCTACACACCAGCACACCACCACCAACACACCACCCGAACCAGCTTTACTCTTGACTCTTTCTACTGCTACTCCTGGCTCTTTTTTACTGCTGTCTTTCAGCCACACTCCAGATCTTAGGGTAGGTAAGGTGGAACACTTAGCGTTCTCGAATAAGGGGGGGGGGGGGATCTCGAAGGTCCTGTGTGCAAGTTGCACATGTTGAAGATCCAATGGTGGTGTGTAAAATTCAAGATTATTTCCTGCCATAACTGAAAAAGGAATGTGGCTGCCTGAAGGCAAGGGGTCCCACTTATACTAAGCTAGAAAAATGGGCTCATACATAAAAATCAGCTGCACTGCAGGTTGAAGAACCACCTGTCGACCGCCCCTGAGATCTAGCTGGGGATTTCAAAGAAGAAAGTATGCAGTCACTATGAAATGACACAGGACAAAGTTTAAGGACAATTTTCAAAATTATGATAAGTAATCTTGCTTGAACTAAGGCCTGGAATCCTGGATCATTATCTTCATCATTGTTCTGAGCCTAATGAACAGCTGAATCTAGACCCAGATCACTATTTTCACCTTCACTTACATCAACACATCTCCAGTTACCTCTCCTGTATTCATTGTCAGTTCTGTATGATGGATCATCATCATCTTCATCAGCAGAAAAACCTTAAATCTAACCTTTCAATCACGTATGGGTCCACAAATTCAGAAATGTTCTAACCTTGTTGAAATGCCATCGTGGTTCAATAACATTATTTTGAGTGGCTCTGGAAAAATATGGTTTTTAAGCAGGCAAATTCAAGGGAAGTCACTGCAACAATGCTGAACTGACGCCAAACAGACTGATCTTTCATACATCCAACTACCAAGCCTGAAGCATGTCCAGCAATGTTTGAAAAATGGTAGAAAAGTGTTTCGGATTTAGCAGGTAGTTCAGGGAATGCAGTAGGTGAGTTATTAACTCACTGGAGACTGACGGAAATTTCGGGGCACAACCTCTCACGACTGGCATTTCATATTTTGATAAGCTGTATCTCAAAAACCAATAAAGCTATCACTTTCTCCTTTGAATATGTTTTTATTGAAATGACCAGGTTTCCAACATTGAAAAAAATAAAGTCATTATCTTTATTAGTTTTTGAAATACGCCCATGTAAATTTTGATAAAATTTTGTCTTGCGCATAAATTTTGGAGACATTATATCTACATGCAAAAAATAACAAATGAGATAAAGTAAAGTATTACTCACCAATTATTTATATAATTCCATCTTGTAACATCTTGTAGATCTAAAACTTCTTCAGTTTCAATACATCTGTCTTTACTTTTAGTAGCAGATCTTCTAGATCAAGATCTAGACTTACGTTTCCTTTTGGATGGAACTTGTTGGTCAGGGTCTGAAACTTAACTGTCGTCAGTTGACTCCCTATCACTAAATCTTGATCTAGTCAATCTCTCCTTATCTCGCTGTTTTTTCCACAAATTCTGGATCCCCGTGAGAGTCCTATTTAATATCTGATATCTCAGAGTCTGCGTCATCAAAAATTCCGAAGTCGTTTAGCCTGTTATTAGGCTTACACTTTCGTTTGCGATGTGCATCCATGTTCAGTTTCACGGGAGAGGTAGTGCTATTTTCGTTGTTGTGGGGTGGTCGTAGTTTTTTATTTACCAGAAGTTTGGTTCGCTTCCATTCAAAACTTGGATTGCAGCTAATGGTGTAAGAGAGGACTGCGTTATTCTGAGGCCACTTCTCGCATATGTAGCGGGATTTACCCGATGTTTTTCCTTTGACTCATGGGTCCTGCATATTGGGTGCGGGGCGTGGCCGGTAGCGTCTATGTGCGGTACGCGTCGCGAGTGAGTTAAACATGGGAGGGTTTCTTTTGGGAAAAGTAACCAGTCACAACTAGTAAAATATCACAGGCTCACGTTAACCTTTGTATTTCAGAGATACGGAATCTGACTCTAACAGTCTACAGGGATCCTCGGCTGATTTTTCATCAGGCGAGTTCTCTTTACCATTACGGAAGTCGAAAGAAAAATATGGTAAGTGGATGGTTTAGTATGAAGTTGGGCGGACTGTTTGGTAATGTTGTAATCAGGTTTTCAATTTTAATGGGTTTTGATTATAACTGTTAAGGTTTCAACTATATACAATTTTCATACTCTCTGTATTCACATAGTTTATGTTTTCTGTCAGGAAAAGGGTTTCAGTTTTTTCAATGTAAGAACTGATGGATGTTATCCGTAGCTCTTTTGCAAATTGTATTTATCTTTTTGTCTATTTCAATTATTATAATAGCGACTGTTATTTCACTCTGTAGTTGATAAAAGCTGAGAAAAAGCAGGTTCATCCTTTTCTGTCTTTTCCCCAGCGCGAAGTATTCCGGTGGATGTCCCCTCAAGAGAGATCTTGTCTGACTACAGCACGGATGATGACAGCGGTTTGGCTTCATGTGAGTGTAAAAGTTTTGTGTCGGGGGGAGGGCGCTCTTTTTTGCGCGCGGGGGGGTATGGGAAAAACTCTGGGAAAATCTTAATACTCTGGGGGGGGGGGGGGAATCTTTTACTTTGATTTTTTTTTAAATTGTAATATTTAACTGGGCATTGTTTTGAACGCAATATGTTGTGTTATTAATGGGAAAGGCATATGGGTGGATTCATTTGAGTTCTTGATGAAATACGGAACAGGAATAAAAATGACGTTTCATTGTGTTACCTCATCTCCATTTCTTCTGACAGTTACTTCTAGTGGTAGCCTGCGTACTTCCTTCCCGTCACCTAGCAACAACAGTGCCAGCAGCTACAACAGTCTCCATCGCCGCTGGATGCGGGCACAGACAACCACGTTGGACGGACACAGTCGTAGACAAGATAGCAGTCTTGCCTCAGAGGTACTGTGCCTTAAAAGAGATTTAAAGCCTACAATTAGACACAACCCCCCCCCCATCAGTGCCACTGACTGAAGTGTCTGTAGGCTATTCCCAAAGGGAGGATATTAACGTGTTCGTGTACACAGTAGAATTGTAAATGGGCTGACTTATAAATGTCATGCTTATACAGTGCCGAAACAACATAGGGGAAACTGCTGCTTTTTCTTTCCTCATTCTCACTATCGTCATTTTTCCTCTACTTCTTTTGTATGTTCGTCCCTCTCTTGTGAACTGTTATTTCTGGGGTGCCTTGATGGTCGAAACAGACTTTGTGCTGTTGAGGCTAGAGAGGTGAGCATAGAAAGCCTGATTCCCTGTTTGGACTTCTCTGCTGACATAAAAACCTTACTAAAACTAAGTACAACTAGTTCTGTGTGTTGCTCAGTGCTATACTTGTGGTTCATCTTAAAGATATTTGTTTTACTGGGTGCAAGTCAATTTTAGCGAAGTGTGTTCTTGCACTACGTGCACTTCAGTCCTTAGTATACTATAGCACTGTGGTACTTCAGTTTTCATCATTATGCAATGGCTATACCATGCATGTTGAGCTGTACAGCAGCAGAGGACTTTCAGATTTCAGATGTCTTTTCTGAGTATCTGTGGACCTTTTCCACTGTTTGCTGTATTTTTCCTTTATGTGTCTATTTGTCTTTGTGGATTATGTTTTCCTCATTACCCGCTTTCAACCTCAGCAGCTTTCTAATGTTATACAGATGGTCTCATAAACATTTATGTATTTATCTCTTGGATACATTTTAGAGCAGTATTTGTACCTAAGCAACTATGAAAAATGGAGTTCTGGTGTTCATTTTTCATCTTGACTGCAAATATCAAAATTAAACGTTGCAATTAAATAGAATGATTTTCAAACTGCTAAGAGATATTTCAATATTGGTTCTTTGTACTTTCAAAAAATGTACATGTTTATATGTTTGTGTTTAATAGTTTTTGAAGAAGTATCAATTCTATTGACATCGCCTCCACATTACAAGTAATTACTTTTAACAGTCAGAAGGTTTACTATGAATAAAGGAAGTTCCCCTGGACTGCTGTGATATACTATATGATGTCCAGACCCAAGCTACAACCTCTTTCAAGAAGTCATAAAAAGGACTCTGTTAGCTCACATTGTGCTGTAGTTCTGATACAGGTGACGAGTTATCCACTGCTCTACCCCACCCTCTCTTTGTCCATTTTCGGGAGCTTTTTAGACAGAGATTTGAATGCATATAAGTTTCAGGTATGAAAAGATTTCGACAGGTTTATTGTCTTCACCCACAGGGCACAGTAGCTAGGTCTCGGAAGAAGATGTTGGCCATCGGCATCCTGTTTGGTCCCCATGATGAAAAAGATGAGGAGAGTACCATGTGAGTTGCTTTCTTTTGTGTTCTGCTCTCTTATGTGTTTAGTTCTGGTGTGAATTACGAGGAAGGAACAAAAATAGCTGTAGTTTCAATTAGTCAACCCTTGGTAACAGCAGTTGTGTTGCTAGTATGAGTAAAACCGTTCAAAGGTTCAATATTGGAGGGGATGTGATGATGGGAGTCCGACATCTCTAAAGAAAATATTGCAAACGCTGCAATGACAACGCAATAGACGTTGAGTTAATCTATTTCTAATTGTCTTTTCCCCATAGGTTGTTCCAGAGTTTTTTCTTCTCCCACTTTGCTCTGATTGAGGGTCATGTGGAAAAACTGCGCTCGGTGATTGAAAAGGCCTACTTCAACTCTCGTAGCTTTTTGCCTGTAACAATGGAGGTACGATGTCTTCAAGTTGCCAACTTGGCTCCAGCCATGTTCTTAAAATACTTTTTTGCATTCTGTTATGTGGTGTCTTTTAATGAAATATGCCTTTGCTTAAGTGCTGAAATGATTAGTTTTGCACCCAGTTACCAATCGGATGTCTTTTGTGATATAATGAATGAAGTGTTGCACAATATCATTTATTCAAAGCATTGTTTTGCTTTTTATATGATAATAATAGGAGGAGCAATCTGGTACAGCAGCTCCCATTGTGTTTACTTTTGTTACAGCAGTGTGTGCCAGTTCTGAGTGTTATTTGATAGAGCTTTTAATGCGCGTTGAACTTGCTGTTGAGTGGGAATTTATGGTGTGCAAATGCTGTTTATTATTTATTGGTATTATTGTGTTTATTGAGTTAACTTTCGATAGAGAGCTTTTTTCCAGCATGACAAATGACAATATACCTCCATTGTTCTCATTCTAATGTGTTTTGCCTTTGGTCCCAGGCTCTAGATACATTCCGCACCAATGTGTATGACCTGTATATGGCGCCGCGTCTGCCAGAGCCTGTCTGGCTAACCATGATGTCCACCACCACGTACAAGACGAAACTCTGTGAGAAGTTCATGCAGGAGTTTGTCTCCCTTGTTGCCAAGTACGACAACAAGAACTGTAAATTGTGAGTGCTACTTTGTCTCTGTACTGTGTTCTACGAAAATTTTCAGAGTTTAAGAAACTAAGGTGCCTCTCTTGTATGATGCTGGTTTTGGTTCTTAATGGGACACTCTTGTATTTGTGGTTTTGGGGTTTTTTATGGCTTCGTACTCGTGTAGCTAAGCCCTGTTGAAGATGGACGATAAATCAGAGGTCCAGTCAGGGCATAAGACGTATACCATATATAAAGAAGCTGAACTGATCTGATCTGAATGGTATTTTTATTGTCCTCAGTTTTGTGAGCACCCTATTGTCAGCTGTGCTCACTCAGCATCTGGCTTGGGTTGCCACAGTAACGCCTGCCGGAGGGACGCCGTCCAAGACCTACCTTGACAAGCACTCTGCCAAATGGGTTAGTCTATATGTCCATGTATTTCTGTATGTGTTGTGGGAGGGGGCCACTTTTAGACTTTCTTTTTATCCTTCTGTTTTACTTTTCCCTGACACTGAATAACCATTTTCCCATGGGTGTGTTTCTCATTTTATTTTTACTCCCAACCGACAATTGTGTTTTTCTCATCAAGCAGTTTGTTTGTTGTCGTAACACAGTTATAAATTGTAGGGCTGGAGTCTGCTCGATTAATCAATGGCTTGCAAGCAGCGGACGGTTTGTGCCAGAGGCTTGCGAGCAGGCCTGTGCTTTGCCCGCTACCGGAGTTGCTACTCTTGAACGGCGGACGGGCTTACTGATTTGTGTCGTGACGTCAGAAACTCTTGTTTACAGAGCGCGCCGATACTCCTGCCCGCGTGCCGCACGCTGACAAGCCCTCACACTTCCAGCGATGGCGCTGTTTGGGGAGGGGAGGGGGCGCTATGGCTGGCGAGCCACCCCTCACTTTTCATAGAGCCCGCCCCTCCCCTTACGCCTCCTGTCATGACAGGGTTTTATTTGTCTTGGGGTTGTTTTTTTTTTTAATTTTTTTTTTTAATTGGGGGGGGGGATTACGTTTTGCTTTATTAATTTTCTAGGCGTAATTCGACGTCATAAATAATATTTGTATGATAGAACATGCACAATACATACATAATATCAGTTACAGTGCAGCAAGATGTTTTTAAAAAGTTATAGGCCTACAATGTAATTAACAATGTGATATAATTTATCTTAACCCTAGAAGCGCTCAGCGTTTCACCGGAAGTAACCCGCCAAAAATGCCCCGCCGCCACGGCCGATCAGTTGTAAACATGGGGGTTTGGCGGGGGGGAAACAGCTGAGATACCCGAAATGTATACCTGCTACTGAAAAATTACCATTTACGGCTCAACGGAGGATAAAAAGCATATAAAAGCATATATTTTCTTTAAGCTGATAGAATGAGCCATTCAAAAATGATCAGCGATCAAATAAATACAAACAATGCCGAGAACGCGATAGACTCAACAATTAGTACATCAGCACGGCGAAACAAGTGATAACACATAGCGTGTAGTCGCTCAGCGGGACCGCGTCACTTTATCGATCGATATCTCGGCCAAGAGACGCTCTACGAGGTCAAGATAACTTGCAAAGTCATTGGTCACTATTTATAACTTTGGCCTGTAATTGACTACGTCATTTTCCATATAAGGAACACTGGAATTTTCCATTGAAAAGGGTCAGCGTCTATGCCCTTTATATAGGGCCTGCGCGCTTCCCGGTCGAAGTAGGTCAGCCCTATATATAGGGCGTGCGCGCTTCCCGGGTAGCCCGGCTCACGCCCTTTATATAGGGCCTGCGCGCTTCCAGGGTTAACAACGATCTTCTGATAGGGAAGCAGTCAAATCAAATGTTTTTTACATTGTTCAGAAACCAAATCACGATTGTCTTCCCCTCCCCAATGCTTTCTCTTCAACTTCAACTTGTTCTAAGTGTCGGGGTGGGAGTGGAAGTGTAGTTTAGGCGAGTGATTAAATTAAAAGCCACGGGATGCTAACAATATATGTACTGATTTACTTTGTCGTTAAAAATTGTTTGTAAGTTCACACCTTTATTCTGCGTCCTAAATAGTTTACCATACCGGGACCCCAGTGCTTTCTTGTCGCATCTCCATTAGTAATACCAGTGAAAACAGCTCATAACAAAATGTGAGCCTACTAATACGTCACATTTTCAATGTTAAAGCACTGAGGTCACGAACGGTCTGGACTAGGCTATATTACGGCCCTCTTTGTCTTGCACCAAAACCAGCGCAGCCTCTCGCTTCCTCCACGTCTAGAGTTCAGAGTTCACACAGCGAGTGGGGTGGATTACCTGTAGATCTTGCAGCTTGCTGTTGACGAGCGGTGTTGCCCTGACGAGTGGTGCTGCCCTGCCAGGGTGGTAGTTGAACTCAAAGCAAATTTATTGGCACGAGAGATTTGTCGGGCGGCGAGCAAGCCTTTAGCACAAAGCAATACGAGACGCAAAGCAGGTCTTGGGACCAAGTGCTTTGTTAAGCTGCGATCAGGATTTGAGTCTTGCCTGCCGTCCGCTACTCGTAAGCCTTCGATTGATCGAACAGACTGGTTTGTGGTGCAGTGACACTGTGAGCGGGTTCTCTCTCTCTCCCCCCCTCTCTCTTTCTGATGTAAGTGGTTTTGCGGATTACAAGCAGGGAGGGGAAGGAAGAGGGGGTCAGACACGAGTGGTTTCGCGGATTGCAAGTTGGTGTGGGGACTTGAATCTTAGGCTAGACTCAGCGTATCATGCTGGTGATTTGATTTGATGATTTGACCTAGTGATTTGAGGCTTGTGACTTGAACTAGGGGCTTGCGAGCACGAGCGTGTTTGCTACCGGGGTACAGCCCTAATAAAGTGTAACAATTTTTTGTAATGTACAGCACTGCAAATTTTTGCAACCAATTACAAAACTGCTCGGATATCTCAAGGTTAAGAAATAAATTAATAAATGTAAGGCGATGCCTGTAAAGTGGACCTGAGAACGCTTAATTAAATCAAGTTTCTGATTCTTGGTCAGTAGTGTATTGATACCGTGTTTCCATTTACACCTCTGGTGTGTGCTAGCAGAATATGTACTGTAGAAAGGGATTTTATTCTTGAACTGAAAATTTGAGTTTTCGTTCCCTTTATGTTTTAAGTGTACATCAAATTGCATCCAGAATTGCAACTATATTATGTGCACTTGAAGTACAACAAATTGTCTACATTCTCTAATGTTCAGCGCTTCCAATTTTCCTCCAAACCTTATCTGCCGATCCGATGCCTGCCGCCTCATTGATACCCCCTCCCCATGTTCCGACTTTCTCACTTTCTTCGTTGTAAAAAAAACTACATCTTGAACTATGTTGCGGTGGTTTTCCTAAAACAGTGCTGTAAATATATATAGCTTAGTCTATCTTTCACTTTTGGAAGTTATGTTGGCCGAATGAACAGCAAGTCTATGTTTGAAGTCATATAAATATAATTATTTTATGATTGTTGGTACAAATCTCAGTCCCGGAAGGTTTTTTTGTTTTATGTTGTGTTTTTACTTTTTCTCCTCCTCCCGACTGACCAACAATTTTTTCCCATAAATTATAATTAGTTGCTTTGCAGTTTTTTAATGTATTGATGAAGCATGCACATTTTGGTTTTGTCCCCAAGAGGAGCTTTTACCTACAAAGTAGACCTCTATACTTTTTCTTTTACCATTTTAGGCCTGGTTAAAGTTCAATAGTGGCTTTCCTTGGTCTGTGAGTCTTAATTTTTTTTTTTTAAATTTTAGGCTCAGGAGAAAAAAAAAAAACTCTTCCGGGACTGGGATTCAATGCTACGCTTGGAAGCACTGAACATTAGAGAACATAGACAGCTTGTATATGTTCTCTAACGTTAGAGAACGTAGACTCTACCTTTTGGCTCATGTGGGATAAATTGAGTGTGTGATTAAAACGTAATAATGCAAACACATTTACAACACATTAAATGTGGGATTGGGAAATTATGGTGTCAGCACAGAGTGTCTGATTTAAATGTTATAACCCTAGGACATTTACAACAGAATGTGTGGTTGGGGGACAATGCTTTGAGCACATGTAGGATATGTAGGATTTTTGTATACTCAAGAGGCTTATTCTCCTCCCCAGGTGGATACGCTAGCGAAGACACACCCGTATAACCCACTGTGGGCACAACTTGGGTAAGTCCAGTATAAGAAAACAAGTTTCATCTTGTGGTGAGGTAGAATGTTAGAGCCATTCTTCCATGTCATTGTCAGCTGACAAAGCAGTGTCCCGTCTGTACATTGGTCAGTGGATTGTGTACCTTTTGGTCAGCAGTATGGTTCTCAGTACTGCTCACAGATGGAGCAACCTTCGGGGTCAGTCAACAGTATAGTGGTCAGTCCACGACAGTGGCCCCTTGGACTGGTGGCTGATACATTTCTTTTTCTCATCGCAAGTTCTGATTACATTTTTGTTCTCATAGATGTCTTAGGTCATATACTCAAAGCAAAATTTTAGATAATTTGTGGTTGAGCATTTATGTAATGTTAGACCTGCATGTTTGCCGACAATCGTCTGAAAACCGACAATCGCGACCCGACCCGCGAGCCGGCCGATGCTATCGCTAGGCCCACCTGTATCAGTCAATGTGCGTCGTGCGAGGCCTGGCCGACTGCCAGCGCCCCCCTTTTTCTCCCGTCGGCTTTGTCGGCACTTTCGTTTTCGTGCCGACCGCCGACTGCCGACGTCGGCGTTTCCGACATAATTGTCGGAACCTGAGTCGAAATGCGAATACGTAAAAAAGACGACGACCTAAATTATCTACTTTCAGTTTCGTGCTCGAGCGGCCATTTTGAATTTCGTTTGTTGACTAATTCAATTGCTCAGATCATGTGGATTCATTCAAGTCCGACTCACTTGTTCTAATAGAATCTAGTTCTAGATTAGATCATTATAGACCTCAATGGAGGATTCATATTCCAATTCTATTGTGTCAAACCCTATCATAGGTTGTGCTGTAATATTAATGTTTGTAAAAAGCATTTCATCAGGTGCGTGAATAAAAAAATTTCTTATTCGGACTCCAGTCCGGAAAAAGGAAGTGTCTTCGTTCTATAGATCTAACGTTCAGTGCTTCCAATTTTCCGCCATTTTTTAGTTTCCTCCACACCTTTTCTGTCGATCCGATGCCCGCCGCCTCATTGATACGCCCCCCCCACCCCCCATGTTTCCCACTTTCTTTGTTGTAAGAAAAGGTAAAATTGAAGATTAGCAGACCACCTGGCACCTGAATATTATGAGCTGTGTAAAAAGAAAAAAGACCGATTCGTTCAAATACACAAGCCTGTGTCATATTGATTGTTTACCAAGAAAAAGTTGTGTTGCTGTGTAGAGCTGAGCATACGGCAACTTTTGATTCCATAGACCAGAGCACAATTCATTACGTAGATCTACGTCAAGACTAGCTTATTATTGTAATAATGATCAGTTGCCGGGGGGGGAAAAAGACTGACGCGTATGCGCCGTTCAACGCCCGGACCGATAGTGCCCCCTCCCCGAAACGCACACAGCCACACGTGTGCAGCCGCCCATCCGACCCCGACACACGCTAACGAGCCATCTTAAATTGTTTCTGATGACCTCTTGACAACTAAACATTTATTAAAAGCGCTATAACTTTTCAGGCCGGCCTCAAATTCATCATAAGATAAAAACTCGGCTCCTGCATAAAACGCCTTTTTGCCCGAAGTGATCCCGGTCTCTACCCAGCCTGAGGCGAGTCACGAGTGTGAGGCAGGACAGGAAGCCGGATTCACGAGTCACAGGAAGTCTGAAGTCGGAAGTGATGTCATGCTGGACAAGAATCAGAGTCCGAATAACATTTTTTCATATTTGGACTCGAGTCCGAATAGTCACTTCGTATTTAGATTCTAGATTCTAGACTCGGCTGAGTCCCTCTGTTCGGAATCGGGTGCGGATTTCTAGTTCAAGGCCTATTCCTATTCACTTGTTCTACAAGATCTAGATCTAGACTAGATATATTTAGATTTCTAGATCTATATGGAGGATTTTATTGTGTTATTGTATCAAACCCTATTATAGCAATGAAGATGTAGGCCATATAGTTATGCCATATTATGCTCCTTGTTTGTTTTGGAGTGTGGTTTTTAATTATTTTAAAAAAAAATAATTTTGGACTTGTGCTGGCCTTTTACATGAGACCCGTAGCAGGTTCTTTTTTGGGGTAGGCCTAGGGGTAGGGTTAGAGTTAGGTCTCTTCTTTATTGTGTTTGCTGGGGTTGTCCCTCGTTACTCGGAAGTCCTTCCTTATGACACCCACAACATTGACAAAAGCTGTTATTGGGGGGGGTGCGCAAAATTTCCAGACAATCTGGTTGAGGCTCACATGCAGGTCTATAATGTATAGTTGTGTGATCTCACAGGTTCCCTCACTGGCAGGGTCTACTTTTTTATTGTCCTTTTGTTATTTATGTCTATCAACCTTCCTTTTCTTTCTAGCATTAAGTGATCATTATTGTGTTGATATGGTGCTTCCCTTTACACAAACCCAAAACTCCCAATTTTTTATTTTTTTCCCCCTTGTCTTTTGTCTTTTATGCTCTCACTTAGCTCGCCAGCTGCTCACATTAACAGAAAAATTCTTTGAAGGATTATGTTTTGTTTTCTAAGTAGTCACTGTTTTGTTTTTGTTTTTCTTCTTGTCAGTGTCTGATTGGTTGAACGACACCACTAGTAAATAAATCCTACTGTTTTATCTCTCTATCATTTCAAGTCTACCATTTCTTTCTTTCTTTATTGGTCGATACTCTTTTTATGAACTGAAACAAACAAATTTATCTGTTTATAATGTGTTCTTTGACAGTGATCTGTTTGGTGCCATTGGCCTCCCCCTGAAGATCTCTCGCACGGTAGTTGTGGGCAAGAAGGCAGATGTGGTGCGGCGCTTCCTGTACATCCTCAGCTACTTCATCCGCTGCAGCGACATACATGAAAACTCTGACCTGGATTGCCTGAACAACCTACTGAGTCAGGCCTCCCTGGAGCTCTCTATCTCCCCCACAGCCAGTGAGAAGACAGTAGTAGATACCTCGACTCTCGAAGGTAGCAGCGCGAGCCCTGCGGCGACCAATCATCTCCTGACCTCACAGACCAGTGTGACCTCACAGACCAGTGTGGGGAGTGATGGGGGTCATTCAATCAAGTCAGGGTCATCAGGAGTGGAGTTTCCGCGGCGTGGGAGCCGCTGGGCAAACACCGAGGGTTGTTCACTCGTGAATGAGAGCTCTGCTGTGTGTATGTGCAAGTGTGGCCGTCCGGTACGTCTTGATGGTGGCCCCATGGCTTCTCAGGGTAACAACATTGCTAGTGTAGGCTACCAGGTGGCTGGCGATGTGGTCACGGTGGAGACAGGGGAGGGTCGAGGTCTTGCTCAATTGACAGCCAACTCAGATCCTTCCTCACGAAGCAGTGCTAACTCAAAGTGTGTATCTTGTGGAAGGACTATCTCAAGTGTGTGTGCTTTCTCAAAGGCTCAAGCAAATTCTGTGGAGGGTGGTGCTATTTGTCATGCTCAAAAAGGTTCCAACATTCCCCGTGTTTCCCAGACGTCAGTGTCAAATGTTCCTTGTGCCAGTGAGGCCCCTGTGTTAAGTGACATGCATGTGGGTGTTCATCCGAGGCTTGAACAGTCGGACAGTTTGCGTGCAGATATTTCTGCAATGCTGCCCCCGTCCTCAGATCTGCATGCTATGAGTGAACTGCAGATCTTCTCACCCAACTCGTTGCCAGTTTGTAGTATGACCTCATCCAAGATTATCGAATCTCCGTGTCGAGAGACTGTCACCAATGTCTTAAAAGCCGCCGACACTTCTTCTGCAATCTCCGGGAACATTTTCTCTTCATCTGGAGCAGAACCTATTTTAAGATCTCAATCATTCTCTGAGGGTAAGATCAAATCTCGTTTATCACAGCAGCTGGAGTGTGAGGTTGTGGATCTGACACCTGACTCCACCAAAGCCAAGACGGTTGACGTGCGGAAATTGTTTCTCTCCGAAGGGAGTAACAGCATGTTTGAGGAGTACTTTGAGCCTGGGGTAGAGGTGAAGACAATAGATGACGTGAGTGAGGTAGAGCGAGCTCTCCTTTCCTCCACTGGTTCCTCCACTTCACGCATGTCTGCTGAGGGGAAGAAAGAGCTGGAAACTCCCAAGCCCTCGGTCTCTCGGCAGAATAGTCAGGACATCAAAAGTCACGCAACCAGGCCTACATCCCTGGCGCATCGCAGCAGGTAAAATTTGCTCCTTATGTGGCTTTTATTGAGAGTTTGGATTGTATTGAGTGACACTACTTCTTGTGCAAAGGAAAGGAAAGGTTAAGTAATCCTGGGCTCTCAAAACATAGTTTTGGTACCCATGGATTCAAAGAGGTCCAAAATGGATGTTTTTGAACTTGTTAAAGAGAAACAACTTGAAAAAGATAAAAGGGATGTAGAAACGAATCAAAGGTAGCTCTAGAATTTATGCCCAGGCAAGGTATTTCTTGTCAGAAAATTTTTCTGTTGGATTTTATTGAGAATTTCAGTGTAAAATTGATGCTCAAAGTAATTTTTTAGTGCTGATGAATGGCTTTGTGACTTCTTATTTTACAAACATCATTCTGACTTTAGGTACAAGTTGTCATTATTGTCAGCTCTAATACTAATGCTTTGAAAGTTTTAATATATCTACATAGAACTTGACTATTTGTTGCTTATTGGAATGATCTTTTTATAAGCCTCGCTTTGTCTGACCATTGAACAGGTATTCTTCTCTGTGTTCATAAATGTTCAAATTCTTTTGTCGTCACATATTTTCATTTTTTTCTCTCAGAATATTCTCTCTTATTATGTCTGTAAACTGAACCAATTTTTGTTGCCTAGGGGGGTTGCTCCTAGTAGATACTTCCCTTCTTTAACTATTATCTGTTAGGTGGCCTCTTTGAGTTAAACGTGGCCTTGTATTTTGTAGAGTTGATTCTCCAAATTCTGTCATTAAATGTTTTGATGATTTTTTTTCTTTTGGTCACTCTTATTGTTTCTTATTTTATTGTTTGTTTGTTAGTGGTGGTTATTTTAATAATTTGTCACCTCTGAACTATTTTGGACAAAGTGTACTGAAAAAAAGAGGCACTTTGGACAAAATAGTTCTGAGGTGATGGTTTATTACATAATTTTTCTCGTCTATCTGACATGTATTATCTATTGTTTTTTGGGGGGGTTTTGTTTTTGTTTTTTACTCTTGGGTTTTTTGGTTTTGTTAACTCTAGAGCTAGTACTTGTACTTTTCTATTTCGGGGAGGGGGGGGGGGTTGTAATTGCTAGTTGAATTTATTGGTACATTTTACTTCACTTTTTGGCATTCTCTGAACTCCATTAAGCCTACCACTAACTTTTATCCCCACATTTTGTTGTGTACAGGTCAATCACCCCGACGGAGTTGAGTCGACGGCGACACCTCTCCTCCACAGGCAGCATTGACTATGAGATGTTCGATCCTGTCAACCACTGTGCCGAGATCAAGATGCCTGAGTAAGAGATGAGATTAGAAAAGAAATGGGAAAAATTTTATATAAATGTTAATTCCAACTAATTTAGAGCTTTTAACATTTTAGAGTGAAACAGTAAATTTTGTGTACATTTTTGTTTCAATCGATGGGATTAAAATGAAAATGAAACTCTTGTAAAATGAATTTTGATGAAAAAAAGAAAGATTTATAATCTCTTGAAATGAAGCTAAATATACCCTTGTGATTGCAATATCATAGAATAATATCATATGTCACTATGGCTGCAATAGGCCTATTCTGTTGCCAATGGAGCCACAAGTTTCTTTTCATGTGAAAGATTTAGTGGGGGGGGGGGGGGGGCATATCATGGTGGATGTCTCTGTGGGGGTTAACAGTAAAAAGATATATATGATATTTCTGGTGTAGATCAAGGTCAAATGACTGTTTGATTCAGGTGGTCTATGGATCAAGGAACATTCTTGAGAAAAGTGGTGAGCACCTGTTACTGTAAATGTTGTCAAATAGTAGAGGTAGATATAGAGAGATGCCAAGGCTTATCTCTTGGGAGGATGGGTTGTCATCCCCCACTGGCATAGTGTATATCTTTCTGTGTTCAGCTTCCTTCTTTCATTTGCGTTTTTTACTTTTTCTTCAGACCTTTGACAGACTCGAACCAGTGGAACATCAAAGCTTTTGACCGCAACTTCGGTCGCTCACTGCTTGCAGGCCACAGTAGCCACTACATGTCAGACTTTGTCCTGCACGGCACCTCAGACACCAACTTCAAGTCACGTCTGCTGCATGACCTGCAGATGACTGTACAGGTGAGTGGTAGTCATTGGATAGCCTTTTTTTCTCTTTACTGGCATCTATGATGTAACATTTACGATTACAATCAATTTTTTTGCTGTTGTGTCAGCTATATATTTTTTTAAATTTGCTACAATTACATTTTAGTAATGGCATCACATGAAAAATGGGTTGGGGGGAGTGCAAGTCTTAAGTTAGCCCTGACAGGCAGGGTTGAAGTATTTTGTCTCCTAAAGTATCTAAACCATGTGGGTTGAGGCATAAAATATTTTCAGTCATTTACAATCAATGGTTCAGACGAAGCTTCAGGTTACCACAGTGAGCCATAAGGCTGTCTACATGTACCTGTTCTACACGTACCTGTTGTACCTCAGACTTGACACAGCTACTTCTGATTTTTTTCAGCACTCCATTCTTGATGAGCCTATTGATGAAGCTGTGTGTGTTATTGCTGATACAGACAACTGGTGAGTTTATTTTATTTTACAGCATGTCCTGTTAAGCTAGGTCTAGAAGAAGTTCATCTTGGTCAGTTTTGTGTGAGGGAGAAATTAATAGATTACTATTTTGCTTGACATGAGAAACCAGCAGTGTATAGTATCATTTATATCATTGTATCTTTATAAGCTGCTTTAAAGATTCATTTGTAATTTATTTTTGCTCTAATTTGAAAGTTCAGTATTATTTTTACATGCATGATAAAGGGAGTGAGTAAAGAGAAAAGGGATGGAGAGAAAATATATCTTTATTATACTTTATGTATAGTACTTTAAATGTTTATTTCTTTTGTAGACTCCCCCACCAAAGCACAATTTGGTGTGTATGAAGAAGTTTGTATTTATTTTTGTCAAGAATGTCCAGTTCCGTTTGATGGAAGGTAGTCATATAGTGTGTGGAGAATGTACAGGAGGGTCTTTGAGCTGTGTTTTACTTATGGAGTTGCAGCTGTGGTGACTGAGCTGTGTTTACGATGCACCTCTTCTTTTTCCCCCCTCCTTCACCACACACACACACATACAGGACGGTGGAAGTAGCCAGTAGCAAAGTGGTCAGCATCTGCCCCTCGGGCTGCACCACGTGGGCGTCCTCACAGCTGGTTGCTGATCTCATTGAGTCAGTCGTGGAGATCTGCAGGCTCAAGATGAGCCCAGAATTTGTGAGTACCATAACCCTTGCTTTATGGTCGACGTACTCTCTCCTTGTGGTTGGCGTACTCTCTCTTTGCTTTGTGCTGTCTCAGTCTCAGCGTGTGGTGTAGTGCATTGTCCTGCTTGGCCTTGTAGCTAGAAATATTGAGAGAGTAATATATGATGGCGTGCTTTTGAATTTCTGAACTCATGAATGTAATGGGAGTTGTGATATTAGACTTTGAAATTGAAGTGAAATGACCCGCTGAGACTGTCCGGCATATCATTCATTTCCGTACATACAGAGTGTTTTTTTGGTTTTTTTAATCATGACTTGTTAGGACCTTACATACGACTTGAAAATAAATTACATTAATCTATACCTAGTCAACATTCTGTTTCATTTCTCTATAATCAAGGGAAACAATAAAAAGCATTCATTTTGGTTGAGGACAATTGCTCTGGTACTGATGAACTTTTTGTGTTGGGCTTGAGGTTATGCATACCATTCTTGGATGTTTATAACATGGCTCATCTAAGTCAGAGGCTTTGTAGACCCCGGAATCCTTGTAGATAACTGACAAATCTTTTTGTTTGTGTGTGTGTTTTATAAAGAAGAGTATCTCAAAGTTTCAAAATCACTGGCTTTATTTGAAAGTGTATATTATACCAAAAAAATTTAATATTTCTAATTCTGTACCCTCTTATGTTGATATAGTGTCTAGATTAAAAACTGTATTCTTGTTGAGTTTCTTGTAGCTCAGTCTTTTTCTTCTCTCTTTGTGAGGAACTGTGGTGAAATCAGGCGCTCGTCAGAATAACAAAATCAGAAAAACGGCATTATTCCACCTGTTTGGAAATTCTTATCGAATTTTTATTTTTTGGCTCAACCCCTTTTCATATATAAAAACACATTTCCATGTGAATTTTACTGAAAAATATGGATTAAAGGCACAAAATATGGCCATTATTCAGTTTTTAAGGACTCTTTAGCTATTGGAGTTACTAAACTTTGATGCTAGATAATTTCTCCATTGAAACTAAGCAACCTCACCACCTTCAAGCACAAAAAATATCTTGACTTTTGTTCAAGATAGATGGGTAATTTTGTAATTGAAAGCAAAGCAAATAAATAAGTTTTCAAATGATACCAATAACTCCACATGCCCAAAAATTGACGAGCGCCTGATTCCACCGCATCATGACTCATTTTTTAAAGATAAAATTTTCTTAGATTTTATCATGGTTTGTGTATAATGAAGTTACCAATTCATTCCCACGTCAATCTGTATATTAGAATGATATTGAATGCTGTTGTGTGTGTTCTCTTTAGTGCCTAATGCATTTGGAGGACCGCCTGCAGGAGATTTATTTCAAGAGTTTGATGCTGTCCGAGTACCTGCGAGGAACAAGGGCCTACAACCAACGAGAGCTCACCTCTATGCTTGGGTGAGTCAGGGAAACAAGGACAGCTGTTTTGTTGACATTTGTATATATTCTCATCGCCTTCTACTTACTAATGCATACTTTGTCTACTTACACTTCAGAAAATGTAATTATTGTTCCTTTTGCAGTATTTTGGGGGCTCAAATCTTGACTTTTACACCATACAAGCCTACTGTACTAATTTTCTCATGAACCCCAGAGCAATCTGAGAGGAAAACACTTAAAAGTAAAAAGTATCTTTCCAGATGTTGCTGAGAGATGTGGGTAGCCTGCTGCAAATATGGTCACAAGAGTTATATGTGTGTGTGCGTGGTGAAAGGTACCAAATGACATCTTCAAAACAAATTCACCACCACCTTGAGCAAGAATTTTCAAAAAATTAGATCTAGGTTAGCGCAGGGATAAAATATGCGATACAGTTTGCTCTTAAAAAAACCGAAAGGGTGTGGATGCGCAAAGCTTCGCTTTGTTTACACGGTCTAGATATTCATGCTCACTACTCGCCATTAGAGAGGGGAGAGAATTACCTAAATTTTGGTATGCTTTGTGATAGGGTCGACTTTATGAATGGACAAGAGAAACCATCCGCAGTGTGTACTCGAAAAAACAATTTTCTCACTCATTATTTGAGATTATGCTATATATGTCGTGTTATAAAACATCTTTAAAAATGTATTTTAAAGTAAAAGAAACTCAAGTCCAATTAAATATATCGATTTTATTAATGGCTTAAGAATCCATTTTTAATAGAACGTAGTTTTTGTCAAAAATTATATTTTTGACCTGTGGAGCCTTTTATCTCTATTCGAACAACTGCGTCTTTAGGTACCTTTCACCAGGCATGCTTACATACTTTGTCATCTCTGTCGAGTGGTTGCTCACAAGATTTATGTTTTATCTTCTGTCAGTAGGAAGCTCACTAAACACATGCATTTTGTTTTCTGTTGTGTGATTGCTCAAAAAGTGCAAATGTTTTGTTTTCCGTAACATTGTTGCTCAAAAATAGATTAATGTTTTATTTTTCTCCTATGTAGTTTTACATAAGACTCATTATGTTTTGTATTTCTATGATCAGGTTTGAGAGCAGTGACATGCCCCTTCTCCTGGCCATCGCAGGCACCCACACGCCTAGCCTGGCACTTGGGGCCCAGTGACCAGCCTGTGATATGAGCCCCCTGTTGTTACATCAAGTGCCATAACGATCTGCAAGGACTTTTCTTCAGATTCCCTTTTTTCTGCATGTTTTCCTATCAGAGTAAGAGATTACTTTGATGAATCGGCACATTGTCTGTGTCAAATTGTACAGATGTGAAAATTTTGCCAACTTTTATCATTTTTACTATTTACAGATTGATCTGATATTGACATTCTTTTTGTGCAAACAAAATATTCAGGGTTTTACTTTCAGTTTGATTAATTGCACTCATAAAGTGCTGTACTAAAAAGCCATTGAAAGAGCTCAGCCCTGAACATAAAGATGTGATTGAAATAGATATCAGGGTTGATTACTACCTGTAGTAGGTGCTCGGTAAAAAATTACAAGAAATGTCCCCAGTGATGTTTGCTGTTAGCGATTTACATGTGTCGGTGATGTAAATAATGCTGAGTGTGCAATCCCGGCCATTATGTATTTTCTTTGATGGCCGCTGGGTCGGGGAAGTAAAAAGTAAAGTATGTATTTTCTTTACATATTTGTAAGAGATCTCTCCTGCTCTGTTGACCTGCTGCTTTGACTACTGGCATAAGAGATGTGTGGTGCCTGTCGTCATCTTGTCTTCCAGTGTTTCCTGTTAATCTTTTGTGTCAATACTGTACACCAGTACGAGTATTGTGTTTGCTCTACACCCCAAGTCCCAGAGAACGAGGACTTTGATGCCACCAATCAGTGAACTCATCTCAGTGCAGGCCTTCCCAACAGCCAGAACAAACAAAGAGTGCTGGCTTTGAAGTACACCTTGTGTATATGTGTCCAGATTCCCATAAATATTATCCACATTCCACAAAAGTTTGCTAAAGGGAAGTAAACCCGTTCTTTATTTTGGTGTGAGGCAGGTGCTTACATTGTATACAAATGAAAATAAGTACTATCTCAGAGATGGAATATACTTTGTGTTATAGTGAATATATAGGTGGTTACCATGATTCTGGCTGGTCTGCAAGCCAAAGAAAGGTTGATTAGCTAGCCGTTTAGATTTTTGTATCACCCACGTGCATGTCAGGGGGATTAAGGATGGGTAGTTATTGATTTGTCAAATCTTTGTAAACTTTTGTAGTTCAGATGTATACTGTGACATGCACAGAGCTACAGTGGTTGTTGTCTTTTGCTTAAATTGGATTGTCCATACTTTTCTTTTGCATTAAATTATGAGAGGGGAAAACAGACTTGTATTGCAGATATGATGGTGTGTGACCCCAGAGACCCAATGCTTCACAATGTTGATTTGGAATTGTCTCTCTTTCTGTATCATGTGTATATCTGCCATGGGCTACTGTTTGGTGGCCTCAAATTGATCTTTACATTTCTAACAGCAGGATACTTGCCAAATGCTACAATGCAAACTGGAAAGCAAGGTAGCAAAAAAGTGATGAGTTATGAAAGTATGCTTGCATAGATTTTGCACCTCCATCCCTGACCAATGCTTGCTGCTGTGCTAGTCAGTTGTACATGATGTATAGGGTAGGCTGATGGTCTGGAGGGTACCTCATACAGGCTACTCAGATAAAGGAAGTGCTTGGTGCAATTTGTTACTTAGAATTTGTGATATTACTCCAATGGTGAAAATCTGTGTTCCAATGATAATTAAAGGATTGTTTTTAATGAGTCCTGACTTATTTGGTTTGTGTTTTTGTAACTCCTCTGTGTTTCCAGATGATATGGATTTTGTTTTTGAAAAACAAAGACCCTGTGCATGGGCGGTTGGCGGGTGCTTTGGTATGGTTTGCTTCTCCTTTCCTACTAAATGTCTATTGTCCTTATCTCTGCTCCTTCTTTCTTTTGTGTTTGTTACTCGCTTGTATCGCCTAATCTTCGGCACTTATATGACCTTATTGTGTTGCAAGTGCCGTAAAACACTTACTAAAACTAAAAGACCCTGTGCGGCGAGGGTATCTCGTGGTTGCAGAATTCGCATAGACTTAAAACCCTTTGTTGCTTTTAGACATACATATAGGGGCCTATATGGTAGCTTAAGTCATGAAAATGTATAATTTTTTGTTTTTTGTAGTCCTTCTGTTACTACAGATGTCACAAAAGTTTGTAAAATTTAGTTCCTGGTTGGCTATAATATGACTTTACTAGCAAATCCCTGTAAAATCATCTAAATGATCTAGCTCTGATTCTTCTATTATACAGAGACTTAGCCACAGGCACAGCCTGGATTCGTATTCAGGAATTTTAAAAAATAAATTACAAATGGAACTATTTGTACCAGATTTGTTAGTACAGTTAAAATAAGTCCAAGATAGTCTCCCATTGCCAAGGAGAAAAGTGGCCGTCTTCAGCAGGATTGATCAAAATGAAGAAAACAGACCATTCCCTACCGCGGCCTCAACCGAAGATGGTCACAGGCTTAGGACTTAGTTTTTAGTTTTAGTAGAGGTTTTATGGCGCTCGCTACTGCATAAGGTCATATGAGCGCCAAGGGGTGGATTTCAACAGAGAATTCCTCACAGGGAATCGGACTTACTCAGCTCACCTCTCTAGCTTTAACAGCACAAAGTCTACTTCGACTATCAAGGCACCCCGGAAATAGCGGGTCACAAGAGTGTGACAAACATACAAAAGAAGTAGAGGAAAATGACGATAGTAAGGATTAGGAAAGAAAAAGCAGCAGTTCCCTGTTGTAGTTCAGGCACAGTTATGAGCATGGCATTGTTAGATCAGCCCATTTACAATTCTACTGTGCACTAGAACGAGAAATGTCCCCTCTTTGGGAATGGCCTAAAGACACTTCAGTCAGTGGCACCGTCCCTGGGGGTGGGCTTAGGACTGTCGTAAATTTTGGAGAGAGGGGGGGGGGGGGGTTATACGGCTGCTGTATTGTGAGTTAAATACTATTACGTGTATCAGATGAGGATGGCAGTGTGCAAGGTAAAACAAAACGAAATGTGTCGGACGAGGAAGACCGAGTGTCATGGTGAAACAAACAAATGGGTTGTCACCACTCGGTGAACGAGCAACATCAGCTGTCACTGTCACAAGTTCATGTGGAAAGTGGAAATGCGTGTGGCTGTTTTGGCAAATTTGATAGTATTATTTTCAGAGCTTGATGTAACGGAGTACAAGTACTCCGGTACTTGTACTTACGTTACAATTTTCGGTACTTTTTCTGTACTCCGGTACATTTTTTTGAACCAGTACTTTAACTCTACTCCAATACTTTTTATAAAAGTACTTTTGAGAATTTTAAAAGTACATTTTGAGTACTTTTGAAGCTTAATAAAAGGGTAAGTGCCAGCATTTCTGATCATAATTTTCGGAACAAACATCCGGGCAGGCACAGCCGATCAACCAAGAGTAATCAAGTTGAGATCAAAGAATGGCCCGTCGCGTCAAAGATCAGCCACTCTCGTGAATGTGATCACAAGCGTTGTAAAACTCTATGAAACGGTACAATGTTTGCCCCAGACGGGATCGCACAGAGGTGTGAACTGACCGGTGCACTCGCATCTGAGCTCGCCACCTAAACTTACATCACTCGCTGGGTGGGTAGGGCCTACAAGTTCGCTCCAGGCAGGATCACATCGAACTGTGAACTCTTCTCTGACCATTGAAGGCAGTTTTTCTCTATTCCCGAATTTGCGAGACAGCCGGAATTTTAATTGGTGTGGTCACAACGTAATGGTGCGTAACGACAAAGGCGGGGGACTCAATCAAAGATGGAAAGCTAACATTTTTGGACAGGTAAAGGGGAGGGGCAACTGGATAAACGCAGTTGTAAAGATATCGAGACTCAGGATAGGCTAATGAGTGTATATATATGGCGGCTACCTCTATATAGTGCAGGCGAGTCTTGGCTATTCTCACCCGGTGCGCGTTCACCGTTATAGCCTAGATCTAGGCCAACAAATTTTGCGTTCACCCTAAACCACAGAATTCTACACTGTGATAACAGAAAAATTGTAGAATTCTGTGCCGTGAACAAACGTTCCATTACAACTGTAGCCTACTAAAAGCGTACAATTTTGTCTGTGGGCAGTGGAGAGAGAGAGAGAAAGGAGTAGCGCGAGAACTTCCGGTCAAAACAAAATGGCGACCCGCGTAGTTCGGCTCGATTCGAAAAGTTAAATAGCCGTAGCATCTTTGTAGACAACCAAATTAATTTACTTTTGTGTTTTAACATCATTTTTAAACTTTGTTTTGGTCAATTTGATCGTCCACATCGATAGACAGTATTCAGAAAGAGACACAGAGAGAGAGAGAGAGGGGGGGGGGGGGGGGAGGAGTAGATCTTGGGAGAACTTCCGGGCATAACAAAATGGCGACCCGCGTAGTTCGTCTCGATTCGAACAGTGAAATAGCCATAGCATCTTTGAAGACGATCAAATTAGCTTACTTTTGTGCTATAACGTAATTTTTTTCTTGGCTTTTATCAATTTGATCATCCACATCGATAGAAAGTATTCCGAAATTAGGAAAAACAGGTCTTGTTTCAAACCGGGTGAGAATAGCCTACAGTCGCAAGTCTCACCCGGAGTGAGAGGTCGATCGTATTTCTATTCTCACCCCGGATGAGAATAGCCACTTCCATATATGGCATGCCTCATGCCACTGTGATTGGTCATCAAGGTTGACTACTCTTTGCTAGCCATATGTCATAAAAACCCACCCAGGGGTCACGTCAGTTCATGGGTCTCTGTAGATTCTTCCTTGGCTTCGTCGGCTAAGATCCCGTTTTCCTTGCTCCCGAGCACTGGGATCTTAGGCGGAGACTATTGTAGTAAAGAATCTTTGGTTACACTACACTTTCTAGACTCTATGGAACTACAAGTATTTTGGTTTGCCGTGGGCGCCGTGGACTACACAGTGTGACCAAAATCTGTCTTACGACTATAAACTATAATCAATAGAAGTGAAACTGAGTTCTCAATGTATATCGAACAATTTTTGAGGCTACCTAAATTTGTTTTAAAAACTTTTTTTGGGTGGTTTTTGCTTAAGTCTACATTGATTCCTGCAATGGAGGATTCGTTAATGAAGAATTCAATGCACTTTTCCATTTCTTTGCTGGCCATTATCCATCAATTTTATGTTTTCTTTAGAGTAACTTTGTCTCTTCATTTTCCAATTTGGATACTTTTCCTGTAGAACTTTCTGACCTCTTGGACTGACTTACATTTGATCACATTGTCTTGCTCAAACAAGTTCTATTCATAATAATAATATCACTTACTCACTAGTTGCGTCTGTTTGTTTGTTTGTTTTTCAATTTCACGGACCATTTCCACATTGTATATTCAAATGTTTGTATACTGTTTACGTTTGTTTGTAATAAATGTCTTAATTTGTCAAATGTACTGGATATGTTATTCAATATGGTGTTTTGCATTAACACTGCTCAAGTGTTTTAGCATATTGACAGAAAGTACTCAAAATGTACTTATAAGTACTTTTTCAAAAAGTACTTGTACTCAAGTACTTTTTACATGAGAGTACTTTTACTGTTCTTAGGTACATTTTTTAGATTGTACTTAAATTTGCTACTTAAGTACCTTTTTAAAAGTACTTTAATAGCTCTGATTATTTTATTGCAAGGTTTGCAAGCAATCTGTACTGTACTGTAAATAAAGCCCCGGTTACGCGCAACGATAAATTGTTCCAAAACTGGACGATCTATCGATCATGAGAAAAATCGTCAGGTGTAACCACAAATTGTACATGTAGCCTACAAAGTTTGGACGATAGCTTGGAAACTAGGTCGAGAAATCAAGCGCTGCTTGTTATTTTCCGTGCGATCACGGTCAGATTTGGAGGAGACGCACTGTGACGTAGAATCACTTTAAAATTTGCCACTGTGCAGGATTAAACTTCGGGTTCAAACTTTTTTTTAAAAATCATCGCAGGTAAAAACTGACTTCATATTCGGAATCAGCGTCTCAAAATAAGCTGCGTTGCTTGCGTGCTGGCGGGGAACGCGATTTGATGCGCCATTACGTACATTTGAGCAATTTTATTATTTAGTTGATCGTCAATGGTAAAGACGCGTATCAAGGTCACCCGGTGCGTTATCGGCAGTCAAGTCAGTGACTAAGAATCTCCCTGATCGAAAGAAAACTGGACGATAGATTGGAACGTCTGAACAAACTATACAGCTCGATAAAACGGACAGTTCTCGCATACGACGAATCTGACACAATTTAATATTTATCGTTGCTTGGAACCATGGCTTAAGTCTTGCACTAGCAGAACGTAAACACCATGAGTCACTTTTGAAACTAGATTTGGAAGTTTCCTGGAATACAGTGATAGGGATAATGATACTATCGAAGACTTGGGGGTCCAAATATTATAATAAGTCCTGAGTGGGCTTGAACCAGACTGCAAGTCCACTGACACTCCAGACTGCTGTCCTGGCTAACGAGCTTAGCTGAAAATCAGAGCTGATAGGAGTGCATATCCCTGGCCATATGGAGTCTTAATTAAGTGAACACCCTTTATATGGTTTTGGTCCAGATGTTCCCCTAGATTTACTTCTTAGATACTGAAATCCGGATAATGTGACCACTCCAGGCAAAGGTATCGTCTACAACAATGAGCTCAACCGTGGTCATGTATACCACAATTTAAAAGGAAAATTTGTATCGGTTGTTCTGTACAAAATT